CATAAACAACACACTAATGATGCCGCAGCCACCGTATTCCCCAGATCTGGCCCCCTAAGACTTTTTCCCATTTTCTGAACTGAAGAGGCCTATGACGAGATAAAGACGGCATCTAAGGAGGAGCTGAACAAAATAAAAAAAAATTGCGCTTTAGCGGCTTTTGCTAAGAATGGGCTAGGAATTTTTTTTTTAAGGGATACCTTGGGGCCTAAACATTAATAAAAAGTGGCAGAAACCGCAAATTTTAATTATTTATAAAAAAAAAAAACACAAAAATAAACATGCAAATTCAAACACTTTTTTGGCACTGAATTTATTCCCCGTCCCTGATAAAGGGCTACCTTGGGGCAAAAACATTGTTTTTACATTGAGTAACGTGAAGCGTGATTTGTATTTATTTATTAAAATAAAAAACAAAATAAACATAAAAATACAATGTATTAAATTAAAAAACAAAATAAACATAACAATTCAATGTATTAAATTAAAAAACAAAATAAACATAACAATTTAATGTATTAAATTAAAAAAACAAAATGAACATAATTCAAAGTATTAAAAAAAAAACAAAATAAACATAATTCAAACAACAAATTCAGTCCTCGTCCGCGTTTTCTTCCAGGTCCAGAAGCTCGAATTCCGCGAGTTGTTCGGAATTCGGAGTATTGATCCTGGGATTGTATGAGTTATATAGCTCAGCAATGGCGCAAAAAATTCCGTGAATTCGTGTTTTTCGAGAGTGGTATCCTCTTTTAAAAATATACTCCGCCAAGAAGCCTTCGAAATGTTTTTCCAATTTTCCATACTTGGGGACAGCGCTTCGTACGTCTCGGCATGTGCGTTTGATAGTTTGTGTGCTTTGGCCAGTATTCGGATCAACGAAATTTTTTGAGTGGTTGACCGTACTGTGCGTGTATTCAAAATTTTCGCAAGCACTAAGAGCGTTGTAAGCTGCCCAACAGTCACTGACGATATGTGTTTTTGGGGCAATTTTCTCTTCCTATCAGGCACCGGAATTAAAAAATTTTTTTACTTCCCCTTTCGAAGCCACCAAAAATCCACTGTCCTTCAATAATTCTTACTCGATCATATGTTTTTTTCCGAATTTGGCTTCGTCAATCTCGACCACTTTTCCCTCACCACCAAGTTTGCCTTCATGATGGCTGTTCAGTGCCAAATCAAAAAACACTTCTCTCAACGACAGCATGTTCTGCAATGCCGATTTCATCAATTAGCAACTCCGTATGTGGGGGAGGAGTCATAACGAAATACGCAACAAATCGACTGATTTGCTTATGACTCAAATGCGATCCGCTAAAAAATGTATTTTTGTTTACGAATTCCTTGAAAGTACATTCTACTTTTTTCTTGTTTTTTGTCACAAATTTTTGACATAGAAATTCCATTTTATTGAGCGCAGGGTTTGGAACCCGCCTCGTAAAAAAAGAAGCCCAGTGAAGACCAAAGCGAAAGCCTCGGATAGGATCCCCCCTTATGTTGACGACCACCGCAAAACGAAAAAGGACTACGATTTGAGGATATGCACCTGGAATGTCCGAACCCTTTATTGGGAAGGTGCCTCTATCCAACTGGCGGATGCCCTCGAAAAATTAAAGGCTGACATTACCGCCATCCAGGAAATGAGCTGGACAGGACAAGGTTGCTCCAAGCGAGCAAACTGCGATATCTACTACAGCTGCCATGCGGAGAGGCGCGAATTTGGATGCGGATTTGTAGTAAGCCGGAGACTTCGCCACCACGTCTCCAACTTCACCCCAGTGAGTGAACGACTGGCTACAATCCGCGTCAAAGCTAGGTTTTTCAATCTAAGCATAATTTGCGCGCACGCCCCGACGGAGGAGAAGGACGATGCTGTAAAGGATGCATTCTACGCGAGACTCGAGGACACATACGACCGCTGCCCAGACCACGACGTGAAGATTATCCTCGGGGACTTCAACGCAAAGGTCGGGCGCGAACGCATCTTTTACCCCACCGTCTGTCAATTCAGCCTCCATGAGACCACCTCGAACAACGGTCTCAGGCTGATTGGCTTCGCTGCGGCGCGAAACATGGTAGTGAGTAGCACCAGATTTCGGCACCTCGATATCCACAAGGCCACATGGCTGTCCCCTGATCAAAAGACGCGCAACCAGATTGATCACGTTGTGATAGACGGAAGGCATGCCTCAAGTGTGATGGACGTGCGCACGTTTCGTGGAGTCAACATTGACTCGGACCACTATCTTGTCGCAGCCAAGATACGCATGCGGCTATGCCGAGCGAAAAACATACGCCCCATCACGCAACGAAAGCTTGACGTCACTAGGCTGCGATCACAACGGACAGCAATGGCCTACTCCACTCACCTCTCGGAACTGCTCCACCAACCTATCCCTCTCCCTGTTGACGCCGGCGGACTCTGGGCCCACATTTCCCACTCCATGCGAGCTGCTGCTGAATCAACCATTGGGTTCAAGCGCCCACCCACACGGAACCAATGGTATGACGAGGAGTGTCGCGTCGCAGCTGCAGCAAAAAACGCCGCCCACAGAAAAACGCTGCAGTCTGGCGCAACGCGAGCTAAGTGTGAACGTTACAGGGAGAAAAGGAAGGAAGAGAGGCGACTTTTCAGGCGGAAAAAACGGGAGCAAGAAAAGCGAGAGTGCGAGGAACTTGACGTGTTACGAGACAGGAATGATGTTCGAAAATTCTACCAACAAGTCAACCGTCTGACACAAGGTTTCAAGACCGGAGCATCTAACTGTCGGGATGAAAATGGAAATCTGGTTATGGATACGCAGTGCACGCTGAGGTTATGGAGGGAGCATTTCTCCAAGCTGCTAGCAGGCGATGACGGCACCAATCCCGCCATTGGAGGAAGCAGCCCGATACCACCAATCGACGACAATGTGGATATACCACTACCTAGCCATGACGAGGTCCGAGTTGCTATAACGCGGCTCAAAAACAACAAAGCAGCCGGTGCTGATGGACTAACTGCAGAGTTGTTTAAGGCCGGCGGCGAAGAGCTGATAAGGTGCATGCATCAGCTCTTGTGCAAAATATGGCTAGAAGAAAGCATGCCCAACGATTGGAATCTCAGCGTCCTTTGTCCAGTACTGAAGAAAGGTGACCCGACGATATGCGCCAACTACCGGGGAATCAGCCTGATTACCATCTCATACAAGGTTCTATCGAGCGTAATTTGTGAACGACTGAAGCCGTATACCAGCACACTGATTGGACCTTATCAGTGCGGCTTCAGACCTGGTAAGTCCACCATAGACCAGATCTTCACATTACGCCAAATCCTGGAAAAAACCCACGAGAATAACATCGACACACACCATCTCTTTGTCGATTATAAAGCTGCATTCGATAGCCCGACGAGGGAACGCCTATATGCCACCATGTCTGAGTTCGGTATTCCTGCAAAGCTAATACGGCTTTGCAGAATGACATTGAGCAGTACCATCAGTTCTGTCAAGGTAGGAACGAACCTCTCCGAACCTTTTAATACCGTTCGAGGTTTCAGACAAGGCGACCCCCTGTCGTGCGATCTCTTCAACTTCGTGATGGAAGGGGTATTGCGGAAAGCAGGTGTACATCGATCTGGCACTATTTTTTATAAAAGTGTCCAGCTCCTTGCGTATGCCGATGATATTGACATCATTGGCCGCAGCAAGCGTGATGTCACTGCTGCATTTTCGGCTATCGAAAAAGAGTCGGCAAAAGTGGGTTTGGCGGTAAACGAGGGCAAGACGAAGTATATGCTGTCTACAAGCAGGGAGGCGCGGCGCCTAGACTCCCATGTGGTAGCGGACAGCTATACCTTCGAAGTGGTCAAGGAGTTCACGTACCTTGGCACTGCCATTAACACCGAAAATGACGTCAGCCTGGAGATCAAGCGAAGAATCACACTTGCCAATAGTTTGGCCAACTTTGGTCTGAGTAAGCAAATGTGCAATAGAGACCTCTCTCGCCGAACAAAACTAACACTCTACAAGACACTCATCCTACCCGTGCTCTTATATGGCGCAGAAGCATGGGTAATATCACTGACGGATGCAGCAGCGCTTGGAGTGTTCGAGAGAAAAATTCTTCGCAAGATCTTTGGTCCCGTTCGGATTGGGGACGACTTTCGCATTCGGATGAACCACGAGCTGTACGAGTTGTACGACGACGTGGACGTGGTCCGGCGCATCACGATACAACGTCTGCGCTGGCTCGGCCACGTTGTGCATATGGATAAAGAATCTCCAGCTCAGAAGGTGTTTGAAGCGAGGGTCGACTACGGGCGACGACGAAGGGGACGACCAAAGCTCCGATGGAAGGACCAAGTGGAGGAGAACCTGACTGCACTGGGAATTTCCGATTGGAGGAGGCGCGCGAGGAGCAGAGGCGCCTGGAGGGAGACGCTGAGGTCGGCCAAAACCCGAATCGGGTTGTAGTGCCACCTAATAATAATTCCATTTTATTCATCGAAAGGGTAGCTTCTTTGTTGCAGCTTTTGCAAGTTTTGTATTTCCACAGCAACATATGCTTTTCTAAAAATGTTCGAAGCTTTTCTGGATCTTCACTAAGAACAATGAACTCACTCAGAGTCATTTCACAACCGTTACAGCGTTCAAGACTTACATTTTCCATGTCCGACATGGTCAAATTATTTTGTTGCTTTGCTTCTTTACCTTTTCACGCATTTGCAGAACTCTTCGTCCACAAAGGACTGAATTCACGGCTACAAAAATGTTTGAATTATGTTTATTTTGTTTTTTAATTTAAAACTTTGAATTATGTTTATTTTGCTTTTTAATTTAATACATTGAATTGATATGTTTATTTTGTTTTTTATTGTAATAAATAAATACAAATCACGCTTTACGTTACTCATTTATGAATGTTTTTGCCCCAAGGTAGCCCTTTATCAGGGACGGGGAATAAATTCAGTGCCAAAAAAGTGTTTGAATTTGCATGTTTATTTTTGTGTTTTTTTTTTTTTATAAATAATTAAAATTTACGGTTTCTGCCCCTTGTTACGAACTGCTATTTGGGTGGGCAGTGCCGCTAGCTCAGCGATCTCTTTGGGCCAAGTTCTCCCCAATGCCCAGTCCGACAACATAAAATCGATTGCTCGATGTCTCACAACACTGAATTACTACGATCTCTAACAAAAATGTAAACAAACCAAAAACGTAAACATTCAAATACAAGGCGGCGGAAATTCGGAACTTTGGTGGCCATCGGTGTTCTTGGCCACTGCGTACCCACCCAACATAGGATGCCTGGTAAGTATTATCCCCGCATCACCCGTAATGGGTCACCAAGTCACTCCAGGCGACTAACTTAACTCCATCTCCCCCACAGAAAAAGGTCTAGCAATTCATCATCATTACAAACTGGCTTTAATTACTCAGGTGAGTATAATTGACATCGTTACTAATATTTATCTAATCAAAAAATTTAATCACATACAGGCCACAGTATCGTCAATCGACCGCCGTCTTAAAATTTAGCGGTCCAAGCAAATTTTTAAGAAAAGGACCGGAAATGTTCTGCCCCCTTATATTGGCAGAATTCTTTTGTTAACGCGGCTTAAAATTAGGGTCACCTAATCCTGAGGAGCTCCACGGGAAAAGAAAGGACGCCGAACGGTAAGTGATATCACTATATAATGCACAATCCTTTATCTTGTTTAAGCGACCTTTTTAGTTTCAGAAATCTGTCGGTCAAAAGTGAAACTTGGGACAAGGGCGCAATTAAATTGGACAATATGGTAAGGAAACTACTTATTAATTAAACATTGTATTAATTTGTTTTGAATTTCAGCAAGTGCTGGTTGGGCTCAGCCCACCAGGAAACGCACCACCAGGAACTCGGAGGCTTATGTGGACGGGCTGGCCAACCTCGTGGCACCAGTCGCCCGCGAAGGAAATTGGCCACTATCGGAGGCACCCCGACGCGGAATGGACTCACCGGAGATCTGGAGTCCGAGAATGTGGACTGGGCTGTCGATGGTGAGAGTTTTTCCTGATTCCTGCGTGAGTCAATCGATGTCCATCCAAACTTATATCTTAAAGTTATGCTCCCTCGAAATTAAATTTATACTTCCGTCCGAAAACAATTTGTGTCTCTTCGAAAAGGATTATGTTTGTTTTCCAAAAAGGTTATATTTCCTTCAAAAAAATTATAAAATGTGGCTCCTCCAGAAATATGTAATCCTTGCAAAAAGTTGTGCTTCCTCCAAAAAGAATATAACGTGTTCCTCGAAAATGTGGCTTAGGTAATTCGGCCTGATCCAGAAATATTGTTTTCTTCAAAAAAAAGAATCCCGGGGCCCTTTATAATGGAACCCCGGGTTCCAAGGCTTGCAAGGAAGTTGCAATTGCATCGTGACGGGGGACTGGCGAACTAAGGAGAAGCTGAGGAAGTGGGAGGCTTTTCCAGAGTGCTGGCCAATTGCTCCCTGGTCGCACAACTAAATTTTGAAAATGGTTGAGGCGAGGAGCTGGCCTAGTTTCCGGTCACTCTGAACGGTGGCTTGTAGACGTATGCAATTGCATCGGGAAGGGGGACTCGGTGACTAGAGATCAGCTAAGGAGGGTGGGAGGCTTGTCCAGTAACATGCTGGCCAATTATTAGTCTGTGATAAAATAGTCTCATTTGCTTTGTAGTTTTTGTTTATCACAATAATTTATTTATTTATTTATAATATCCACGTTGTGCATATGGATAAAGAATCTCCAGCTCAGAAGGTGTTTGAAGCGAGGGTCGACTACGGGCGACGACGAAGGGGACGACCAAAGCTCCGATGGAAGGACCAAGTGGAGGAGAACCTGACTGCACTGGGAATTTCCGATTGGAGGAGGCGCGCGAGGAGCAGAGGCGCCTGGAGGGAGACGCTGAGGTCGGCCAAAACCCGAATCGGGTTGTAGTGCCACCTAATAATAATTCCATTTTATTCATCGAAAGGGTAGCTTCTTTGTTGCAGCTTTTGCAAGTTTTGTATTTCCACAGCAACATATGCTTTTCTAAAAATGTTCGAAGCTTTTCTGGATCTTCACTAAGAACAATGAACTCACTCAGAGTCATTTCACAACCGTTACAGCGTTCAAGACTTACATTTTCCATGTCCGACATGGTCAAATTATTTTGTTGCTTTGTTTCTTTACCTTTTCACGCATTTGCAGAACTCTTCGTCCACAAAGGACTGAATTCACGGCTACAAAAATGTTTGAATTATGTTTATTTTGTTTTTTAATTTAAAACTTTGAATTATGTTTATTTTGCTTTTTAATTTAATACATTGAATTGATATGTTTATTTTGTTTTTTATTTTAATAAATAAATACAAATCACGCTTTACGTTACTCATTTATGAATGTTTTTGCCCCAAGGTAGCCCTTTATCAGGGACGGGGAATAAATTCAGTGCCAAAAAAGTGTTTGAATTTGCATGTTTATTTTTGTGTTTTTTTTTTTTTTATAAATAATTAAAATTTACGGTTTCTGCCCCTTGTTACGAACTGCTATTTGGGTGGGCAGTGCCGCTAGCTCAGCGATCTCTTTGGGCCAAGTTCTCCCCAATGCCCAGTCCGACAACATAAAATCGATTGCTCGATGTCTCACAACACTGAATTACTACGATCTCTAACAAAAATGTAAACAAACCAAAAACGTAAACATTCAAATACAAGGCGGCGGAAATTCGGAACTTTGGTGGCCATCGGTGTTCTTGGCCACTGCGTACCCACCCAACATAGGATGCCTGGTAAGTATTATCCCCGCATCACCCGTAATGGGTCACCAAGTCACTCCAGGCGACTAACTTAACTCCATCTCCCCCACAGAAAAAGGTCTAGCAATTCATCATCATTACAAACTGGCTTTAATTACTCAGGTGAGTATAATTGACATCGTTACTAATATTTATCTAATCAAAAAATTTAATCACATACAGGCCACAGTATCGTCAATCGACCGCCGTCTTAAAATTTAGCGGTCCAAGCAAATTTTTAAGAAAAGGACCGGAAATGTTCTGCCCCCTTATATTGGCAGAATTCTTTTGTTAACGCGGCTTAAAATTAGGGTCACCTAATCCTGAGGAGCTCCACGGGAAAAGAAAGGACGCCGAACGGTAAGTGATATCACTATATAATGCACAATCCTTTATCTTGTTTAAGCGACCTTTTTAGTTTCAGAAATCTGTCGGTCAAAAGTGAAACTTGGGACAAGGGCGCAATTAAATTGGACAATATGGTAAGGAAACTACTTATTAATTAAACATTGTATTAATTTGTTTTGAATTTCAGCAAGTGCTGGTTGGGCTCAGCCCACCAGGAAACGCACCACCAGGAACTCGGAGGCTTATGTGGACGGGCTGGCCAACCTCGTGGCACCAGTCGCCCGCGAAGGAAATTGGCCACTATCGGAGGCACCCCGACGCGGAATGGACTCACCGGAGATCTGGAGTCCGAGAATGTGGACTGGGCTGTCGATGGTGAGAGTTTTTCCTGATTCCTGCGTGAGTCAATCGATGTCCATCCAAACTTATATCTTAAAGTTATGCTCCCTCGAAATTAAATTTATACTTCCGTCCGAAAACAATTTGTGTCTCTTCGAAAAGGATTATGTTTGTTTTCCAAAAAGGTTATATTTCCTTCAAAAAAATTATAAAATGTGGCTCCTCCAGAAATATGTAATCCTTGCAAAAAGTTGTGCTTCCTCCAAAAAGAATATAACGTGTTCCTCGAAAATGTGGCTTAGGTAATTCGGCCTGATCCAGAAATATTGTTTTCTTCAAAAAAAAGAATCCCGGGGCCCTTTATAATGGAACCCCGGGTTCCAAGGCTTGCAAGGAAGTTGCAATTGCATCGTGACGGGGGACTGGCGAACTAAGGAGAAGCTGAGGAAGTGGGAGGCTTTTCCAGAGTGCTGGCCAATTGCTCCCTGGTCGCACAACTAAATTTTGAAAATGGTTGAGGCGAGGAGCTGGCCTAGTTTCCGGTCACTCTGAACGGTGGCTTGTAGACGTATGCAATTGCATCGGGAAGGGGGACTCGGTGACTAGAGATCAGCTAAGGAGGGTGGGAGGCTTGTCCAGTAACATGCTGGCCAATTATTAGTCTGTGATAAAATAGTCTCATTTGCTTTGTAGTTTTTGTTTATCACAATAATTTATTTATTTATAATTTTTGTTGTTGTCTGTAAATGGGGTATGGATTCCTGGGTTTTTCTTCCGTCTACTTGAAAGTACACGCGATGCACGAGTCCATCGATTTGCGATGGAAACTGCAGATGAGGAAGAAGACCAACAGCAGTCCATGAGCAACCAATGTCTTTAACTGGCGGCTATCACCTAAGGTGATAGCTAGATCAGTTGACGAGCGGCCACAGTATTAGCTGAAATGAAAGATAGAAAGAGAATTTAGTTATCTGGTGGCTCGAAGAGTTTAATAGTTAGTTATTTATTATTATTTATTCCAGGCGTTAATTTTTTTTTTGGGTGTTTGATAATTTATTTATTTATTTTGTTATTTATTATTCTGTTATTTAATTATTTATTTCATTATTTATTCCATTATTTGTTCCATTATTTATCTCATTATTTATTTAATTATCTATTTGTTCATACTTTTAATATTAATTTTTGTAGTGGCGATATTTCTTGTTATTTATATATTTTTTTGTGGTATCAGGATAAGAAATATTTATCGTAGTGAAGCATGTCGAAAGATAGGGATTTTGGGGGTAGACACGACCACCAGCTGGGGTCGATGGGTCCTCCTGGAGGAGATGAAGATGCTCCTCGGCCAACGGATGTAGAGGGTGCTGCTGGAGTAGAGCGCGAGCAACTGCTGGAGCTAGGCGACGTGAACTCGGCCAAATCATGGCTCGCTTCGGAGGAGAAGTCAGCAGCGAACGTGGCGATCGCGCAAGCGGCAGAGACCTATCGGAAGGCGCAGGGGGTGGGAGTAAGCCAGTCATTGCGAGATGAGATACGCCAAGGCTTCCTCGACATGATGAAGCTCTTAAATGAGGCTCTCAGGCCAGCAGATCCACGGCCGTCGCCCGCGGCTAGAGAGCAGACAGATCGGCAGCAACAACCAGCAGCAGCAGAAGCGTCAGCGCAGCAGAAGCAGGGTGCCATCCCGAAGGGAAGCAAACCGTGTCCACCACCTCCATTGGTCCCGCCGAAGCCAAAGCGAAGAGTGGACATATCGGCGGATTGGGCCAGCACGAGGATCACCAGCGTCCATGGCAGGAGGTATTAAAACACTTCCATGCGTTCCTCACCGTCCGAGACAAGGAGTGGTACCACGTACGTCAGTCTAGAGTCGCAGTCTGGGGGTGTGCCACGCCAAAGACATCCAGCTGTGGGCTGAAATGGGTACACAAATTAAACGAGAGCACTAAAAATGGATCGCAAAACTTCCCGGCAAGCGTGGGCCCCGCGTAGGGCGCCGTACGATCTGCTCGGATTCCTGGCCTCCTCCACAGCTACTAAGCATTTTATCGTTTCGCCAAACCTCGTTGTGGCACCTCTCGAAATCCTTGGTTGATGTTGCAGTTGGAGTGATTCCAGGAGGAGCTATCGATAGGCTAGAACAAGTAGCGATGGTTAGGGCAGCGCCCCCTTTTGGGCCATGGGCAAGATTCTACTTACATTGGTATCTAATTTGTAGAATATTCCGATTGTGATTTCTCTTAGATGGCCTTGGGGATGTCCGTTGACCCATCTTCGAGAGAGCCTGGGGAAGATGGTAGGGAACATTGCGTGATTATACGGATCACCGTTCAGTAGTACCCAAGAAGACAAACGTGGTAGACGGACGATTCTTACTAGTAGAAATTTTGTGAAATTTGTGAACAAGTGAGTTATTTTTTTTTTTTTTGTGATAAATTTAAAAATGTAAAATGTTTATTTTTTGGTTTAGGGAACCCGGGGTTCCATTATAAAGGGCCCCAGGATTCTTTTTTTTTGAAGAAAACAATATTTCTGGATCAGGCCGAATTACCTAAGCCACATTTTCGAGGAACACGTTATATTCTTTTTGGAGGAAGCACAACTTTTTGCAAGGATAATCCTAATCCACATAATCCTTTTCGAAGAGACACAAATTGTTTTCGGACGGAAGTATAAATTTAATTTCGAGGGAGCATAACTTTAAGATATAAGTTTGGATGGACATCGATTGACTCACGCAGGAATCAGGAAAAACTCTCACCATCGACAGCCCAGTCCACATTCTCGGACTCCAGATCTCCGGTGAGTCCATTCCGCGTCGGGGTGCCTCCGATAGTGGCCAATTTCCTTCGCGGGCGACTGGTGCCACGAGGTTGGCCAGCCCGTCCACATAAGCCTCCGAGTTCCTGGTGGTGCGTTTCCTGGTGGGCTGAGCCCAACCAGCACTTGCTGAAATTCAAAACAAATTAATACAATGTTTAATTAATAAGTAGTTTCCTTACCATATTGTCCAATTTAATTGCGCCCTTGTCCCAAGTTTCACTTTTGACCGACAGATTTCTGAAACTAAAAAGGTCGCTTAAACAAGATAAAGGATTGTGCATTATATAGTGATATCACTTACCGTTCGGCGTCCTTTCTTTTCCCGTGGAGCTCCTCAGGATTAGGGGACCCTAATTTTAAGCCGCGTTAACAAAAGAATTCTGCCAATATAAGGGGGCAGAACATTTCCGGTCCTTTTCTTAAAAATTTGCTTGGACCGCTAAATTTTAAGACGGCGGTCGATTGACGATACTGTGGCCTGTATGTGATTAAATTTTTTGATTAGATAAATATTAGTAACGATGTCAATTATACTCACCTGAGTAATTAAAGCCAGTTTGTAATGATGATGAATTGCTAGACCTTTTTCTGTGGGGGAGATGGAGTTAAGTTAGTCGCCTGGAGTGACTTGGTGACCCATTACGGGTGATGCGGGGATAATACTTACCAGGCATCCTATGTTGGGTGGGTACGCAGTGGCCAAGAACACCGATGGCCACCAAAGTTCCGAATTTCCGCCGCCTTGTATTTGAATGTTTACGTTTTTGGTTTGTTTACATTTTTGTTAGAGATCGTAGTAATTCAGTGTTGTGAGACATCGAGCAATCGATTTTATGTTGTCGGACTGGGCATTGGGGAGAACTTGGCCCAAAGAGATCGCTGAGCTAGCGGCACTGCCCACCCAAATAGCAGTTCGTAACACACTTTTTATTTATGTTAAAAAAAAAATTCCTTGCCCATTTTTAGCAAAAGCCGCTAAAGCGCAACTTTACCATTTTTTCACCTTTACTTTTTCGATATTTATTTCGTCTTTGATATAAGATGAGACATCAAATGATGTGTATTTGTTTTATTTGTGGACTCATTTGGTATATTTGGTTTGGTACTGCAGGCTGTGGACGTGACGTGACGACTTGGGCCGGAAGTCCGGTTTCAGAAGGACCCTTTAAAATACCAAATGAGCTTTGGAAGTACATATATTTAAAAAGAAACACACATATGTACATACAATCCAAAGACAATGTTCAATTTATTAATAATTTACGTATTTCTGTTTTATAAACTTAGAATTTGTACATTATGATAATTTTTTAAGCAATGCTTAAAAACTGCTGCCAAGTTTTTCAGCAAGGACACATGGTCTTTGGCTGTTTCTGATGATATCCAGTCCACGCTAAGCCTGAAAAGAAATAAATGTTATTAATACGTGATCCATTTAAAAAATGAAATTGGGAGCAACAAAATCAAGTACCTCTACTATCAGATACCTCTCAATCAGATACTCAAGGTCAATAGGGGAGACAACTTTTTAATAACATTTTGCTGCGTATATAATCTTCTGTATAAAATGCTTAAGGCGCTGGTGTGCTTAAAAAATTACATTCGCTGCTATTTACTACTAGAATCTAAATGATCACAGCAAAATACCGTAGTACCAAAATGCGTAAAACTAACATAATGAATATCAATCTCGATTAGTTGCCGAGATTTTGACGTTCATATGGAAATGTTTGGAAAGCGTATGTAAAACAGTCAATACGTAACGAATCATTAATTGGAATCAGGGACCGTAAATAATAATTATGAGTTTAAAAAAATTGAAGCCCAAAACAGTTTCCAAGAAAATTGGGAAAAATTGTCTTAAGTTAAATTTTTATGGCGAATTCAAAAACAAGATAAATGTTTTTTTTTTCAATTTTTATGAAAAAAATTGATTTTTAATACTTAAAATTAATTTTAATAATAAAAAATTAGTAATAATTATTAAATATACATTTTTATATAAAAATTACGCAATAACTTTTATTTTCTAATTTTTATTATATAAATTGAAAAATAAAAATTATTCGATAACTTTTATTTTAAAAATTGAAAATAAAGATTGAATCTATATATCTTTTGATCCGTAGAAGCCAGATCCAATATATATGTATATATGTGATCTACACATCAATACCTTTCAGATGGTATATAATAAGTTTGTATATACAGTGGAGGCCATAAGTATTTTGTCAAAATAAAAGTGAAATATACTCGAAACCTGAACTTGCTTCTTTTAACTTTTGGTATCAATGGAAAGGTAATTCAAATGCCTTTTGAATGATACCATACTTTTCTCAACTCATTCGATATTTATTGAACAGGGCAATTTAAAAAAAAAGTCAAAAAAAAACTTTTTCCCTCGGCTTCAAAACTAAAATTTTTGGATGCAAAAAGTTTCTTTAATCAAAAATAATAGGAACTGCAAAAAGAATTTTTCAAAAATAATTTTTCTTCTATTTTTTATGATTTTTTGAAAATGACTAGAAACACGCTTTTTAGCCATATTTTTCTCTTTTCCATACAAACTTTTTCGGACATTGTCACCTTCAAAAAATCATAAAAAATAGAAGAAAAATTATTTTGAAAAATTCTTTTTGCAGTTCCTATTATTTTTGATTAAAGAAACTTTTTGCATCCAAAAATTTTAGTTTTGAAGCCGAGGGAAAA